AACGAATTTTACAAATTACAATCGAATTCGCAAATAGAATGCACATTTGCTCAGAATCGAAATGAAAACCATAGAAGCTTACCTTAGGGTCTGTAGAGCTTCCATAACGGGGGTGAATGTCGAAGAGCTGACGAAAACTCGAAGCATTTTGTTAAAAGCGTCGAGGATGAGAGTCCACGAAGCTGAATTGATCTCAAGAGGAAGACGATGGGAGATGTCGTGGATCTGAATCAAACGACAAGAATTCTCAATATACAACGAAAACGAATAAGCAAAGAAGCAAAAAGCCAAACTCTCTGCTGTTCATACCAAGTGAGTTGTGTGAGTGAAGGTAGCGGTCATGTCTTCAATGCCGTGAGGCCTTGTGGTGATGAGTTCCATGACGAACAGCAAATCGGAGGTAACTTCCTGGGGAGGGAGGGAGGGAGCGGCGGAGAGGAGAGTGTGAGAATGGGAGAAGATGAAATGGTGGAGGAGTTCGGGGATTGGGGTGCGCAGAGGAGTTGTTAGGGTTTCGTCTCTCACGGTCAGAAACGCCGTCCTCCACCACCGTACCGGCGATGACAATGACGACGAGGAGGAAGATGCTACCGCCATTTCACAGCTCGGCTTCTCAGTCCCTCCAACTCCTACCAATTTTACTTGTTGCAGCATACGCTGTCCAAACTGCTTCGGATTTGCTTGAACCAGTGAAACACGGCCTATAGGGCCTAACTATTGAATCATAGGTCCATTTCCATTTGGGACATTTTCATTGTGGGCTGAAATATATTGGCCGAAACCTACGAAGAAACTGTCTCAATTTACAAGAGAGGCCCGGGTCGGGCTTAGATGTCCGTATTGCACTCGAAAAACAAACTTGTTATTTGCCCGGATCACTGCTTGGATTTTTTGTTTTTGTTTTTGTTTTTTTTTAATTCGTTAGAAAGGGGAGTATTATATTGAGTTGCTTTAATATTGTCTTTTATATGAATCGAATTTGATGCACTTTGGGGATAAGAGGAGAGTTCGGCCACTTTTCCACTGTGGTGTCACCGCATGTGCGAACACTTCGAGTCTTCTTACAAACACGAACAAAACTAATTGTCTAACTTTCATTTCAACTCAAGCGGGTGGTATGAGTCTTAGATGTCCACAATATACTCGCAAAACTAACACAAGTCGTTGAACTAAAACACTATTTGGCTCCTTATAAGTACGGACAAAACTAACCATCTCACTTTCATTGCAACCCAATGAGCCCGGTTCATGCACGGATGTTTACACTGCACTCATCAAACTAGCATGGTGGAATCACACGTCACAATATAAGAAGGAAAGTGTTTTTCATTCGACCCACCATACATTGTTGATGTTAGCAGTTTGGTGCCTCTCATCTCAAGGCCCATAACTTTAACTGTCTTTTAACCTTCTGCGAGCGATTGCAACATATTTACTTAACCCATCACTTTCCTCAATCGTTAC